TGGTGCTCACTCACTCAGTATCCAGCCACCACTCCTCAGTGCGGTGCAAATTTTTATCCAAACAGTTGTGGGAGGATAGGGAATATTTAACCCTCATACCTCTTTCTGCCTGCTGTCATTGCCTTAAAAATTAATATAAAAATCCAGAGGGAGATTCAGTCACAGATCTCTTGTGCAACGTGCAGGTGTGTGTTGTTCCAAAAACACTAGGAAAAAAGAAACTTGAAACCAGAAAATTCTCTATATTGCATAAGCCTTTCACCTAACCACCTTAAGATGGAACATTCATGACCGACATTCAGCACTCATAGTGGATACCGACCCAGAACTGGCCGAAAGAGCAATCCTGAAAAAAAGAAAAAAGGTATTAGTTTCTCTACAAGTAGAGCATAAATATCCTGGGCAACTGAGAAAGATGAGGGGGAAATAGATGAGGGATAGTGAACTGGCCTCAAGTTTAAGAATAGCCTAGAAATAAACGGGCCAGGCTGGTGAAGAGGAATGTTTATGATAGCTGCCTATGATGGAATTTGGTCGGGAGATGAACGAGAGTCATTTCACATTGCTATTAAAAGACATCCTTGACCTATGCAAGATTCACATTGGAATTCTTCCTTTTAGTAGAAACTTGCCCTAAAGGCATGAACACTTAATCCAGGATGCTCTGCTGTTCTCAGCTATCCTAGTACTAGTTGCAGAGAGCAAGCTCAGCACTCTCCTCTGTCTCCCTCCCTCCCCTTGAATACTTTTTCCTTTTTGTTCTGGTGCTGCAGAATCAAGGAATGCCACAGAAGCAGTCCCTTGGCATCTCCACAGTGACAACCTATATGGGAGAGGGGAAGGAATGAAAATAGCCAGAATCTGGTCCTCACAGTGATCAACCAGATGCCCAAGGAAAGCCTGCAAAAGCAGGACCTAAGCACAATAGCACTCTCCCCATCTGTGATAGCCAGCAATGGGTACCGTATTTTTTGCTGTATAAGACTCAAAAAGTAAGGGGAAATATGTGTGCGTCTTATGGAGCGAATGCAGGCTGTGCAGCTATCCCAGAAGCCAGAACAGCAAGAGGGATCGCTGCTTTCACTGCGCAGCGATCCCTCTTGCTGTTCTGGCTTCTGAGATTCAGAATATTTTTTTTCTTGTTTTCCTCCTCCAAAAACTAGGTGCATCTTGTGGTCTGGTGCGTCTTATAGAGCGAAAAATACGGTAATATAGAGGCCTGCTGCCCCCAATACTGGAGGGGCTAGCTCAGTTGGTAGAGCACATGACTTCAAATCTCAGGGTTGTAGGTTTGAGCCATATGTTGGGCAGATTCCTGTATTTGCAAGGGGTTGGACTAGATTACCCTTGAGGTCCCTTCCAACTCTACAATTCTAGTACACGGCAATGATGACTAGTAGCCATTGATAGTCTTTTGTTTAGTCGTTTAGTCGTGTCCGACTCTTCGTGACCCCATGGACCAGAGCACGCCAGGCACCTCTGTCCTCCACTACCTCCCGCAGTTTGGTCAAACTCATGCTGGTAACCTCGAAAACAGTCTTATTATGATAGTCTTATCCTTCATTAATTTGCCTAGCTTCCTTTTACATATTTTTGGGGGGTGGGTGAGAAGCAGCCACATTTGAAATGATTTAACGGAACAAGCTGCAAGTAAATCCTTTTCATTGGTTTCATTTGTGCAGTTGCAGCAGCTACAGAAGGAAGCTTGGCAATATCTCTTTCCCAACCTCCTTGCCTCTGTAAGCAGTAAAGCTATTAAACAAAATTACGGGGAGATTTCTGACCTCTAGATGCTCTGGTTTCCTTTTTAAGACAATTGCTTGAGCTATCTAGTTTACTCTGAGGCACTTATGTTTGGAGCCAAGGCAGCAAACAAGTTGGGATTTAATTTTTATTTTTAACATGACCTGGTAGAATGGAGCAGTTTCTTCTTCTCTCCTGCATGCCCACAACCTAGAATTCTATTTTATAAAATCTGATAGATTTATCTGTCCAGTATTTGAAAATTTTTAAAACATATTTTCCCACTTGCTTATTGCTGTTTGAGGTTGGATCTTCTCCCCGCCTTTTTTTCTTTTGCTAAGGAGAGCAATTCTGCTTAACAATGGACTGTTATCAGCACTTCTTAGCTTTGTACCAGTTAGACTATCACTCAGTGGAGAGGCTGTAACCACAGGAATGTGACAAGAAGCAAACCTGTCGCTCAAGAATGGAGATACAAGCATTGCACATTGCTAAATACTAGTAGTACACAAAGGCCCCATATCTGTCTTACTTGTGTTACTTCTAAATCTACAGGTTACAGAGAAGGCGAAATAAGGACTGGTCTTAATCAAAATAACTTTTCCGAATGCTATAAAAAGAAAACATTTCATATATCAGTTTCTGTTAGTCAAAACAATTTGCTTGTTTCAAAATTAGCAGTGCATACAATGTAATGGTTCAGATGCCAAGACAGAAAAGGTAGTTTGTTTGGCAATAGAGAGGCTGTTGGCTTTTGAATGTTACATTACTCCCTTTCTATGTTTCAGGCTAGATCTGCAGAACTGGATTCCTGCCCAGCAACCTGGCCTACAGAAGCGAAAGAGGACAGATGTACTCAGTTACTAACCTTCCCAGGCGCAACCTATCACAGACATCAAGATAAAGGTGTGCTATTTCCACACCTTGAGCTGCTCACTTCAGTACATTTGTTAGCTGAATCTTATCTGTTGGGACAGTCTGTCATTAGAGTCAATACAGAAGTGTTTGAGTTTGAAGACTCATCTGCCTATTACGTGTGTGTGTGTGTAAATAATAATAATAATAATAATAATAATAATAATAATAATAATTTATTTGTACCCCACCCACTCTGGGCGGCTTCCAAAAAAAATATTAAAACACTCTAATACATCAAACATTAAAAGCTTCCCTGAACAGGGCTGCCTTCAGGTGTCTTCTAAAAGTCTGGTAGTTGTTGTTCTCTTTGACATCTGGTGGGAGGGCGTTCCACAGGGAGGGCGCCACTACCGAGAATGCCCTCTGCCTGGTTCCCTGTAACTTGGCTTCTCGCAGTGAGGGAACCGCCAGAAGGCCCTCGGTGCTGGACCTCAGTGTCCGGGTAGAACGATGGGGGTGGAGATGCTCCTTCAGGTATACAGGACCGAGGCCGTTTAGGGCTTTAAAGGTCAGCACCAATACTTTGAATTGTGCTCGGAAACGTACTGGAAGCCAATGTAGGTCTTTTATGTGGTCTCAGCAGCCGCTCCCAGTCACCAGTCTAGCTGCCGCGTTCTGGATTAGTTGTAGTCACCTTCAAAGGTAGCCCCACGTAGAGCGCATTGCAGTAGTCCAAGCATATATATATGGTATGCATTTACATACCGTATTTTTCACCCCATAGGATGCACCGGCCCATAGGACGCATCAAGTTTTTTGGGGGGGAAATAAAGAAAAAAAATTATTCCCCCCCCCAGGCGCTTGTGGGGCCGGCAGCGGGGAGAAGCGCTCTTCTCCCCACAGTCCGCCTTCAGACCAGGTCCGGGGACAGCGGGAAGACGCGCTGCGGGGCCCATAGGACGCATCAAGTTTTTTGGGGGGGAAATAAAGGGGAAAAAATCTATCCCCCCCCCAGGCGCTTGCGGGGCCGGCAGCGGGGAGAAGCGCTCTTCTCCCCACAGTCCGCCTTCAGACCAGGTCCGGGGACAGCGGGAAGACGCGCTGCGGGGCCCATAGGACGCATCAAGTTTTTTGGGGGGGAAATAAAGAAAAAAAAATCTATTCCCCCCCCAGGCGCTTGCGGGGCAGGCAGCGCTCTTCTCTCCGCCGCCCGCCTTCAGATCAGGTCCTGTGGCAGAAGGGGTGTTCCGTGTCACTGAAGGTACCTGGGCTTCTAGTGACAAAGATGGAGACAGGAGCATTGCCAAGCTACATATCTGATGCCTCTGGGGAGGACACCCCCATTCAGAAAAGGTGACTGCCCTATCTTCAGAACCCGGACCCATTCATCTAGATGTCCTCTATATCGGCAAGATTCACCTGTTCTATTCTGTTGTGTTCACCCTGAAGAACACAGGATCAGGCTTTGAGATAGATGTACAATGTGCTTTACAATAACCCTTGCTGATCCTTATATACGTTTTGCAGTCCAAACCATTCTTAACTCAGTTATTACTAAAACGGGTATTGGTTTGTTCAGGAGGATTGGCAAAATGAATCAACTGCTAAGCTTCCCTCCAAATCATTGCTTAGCTCAAAAACCAGTGTTCCCCACTGGTCTATGTTTGCTCTCACAAAGCCGGCCTGGTGCTTTGGTGTTGAATGGCTATATAATTACCTCCAGGATCAGAGGCCTCTTAATAGCATGCATTGGAGAACAACAGGAAGTAGCTTGTGTTCTGCTGGAGGGCTTCCCATAGGCTGTTGTGGGAAAGAGGATGCCTATGGAGTGACCCTGCAGGATTCTTTATGTTCCCAAAGAGCTTCACCTACAAAGTAGACTTCTACCTCCACCCTTCCTAATTAAAATACAGTTTCATGAATGAAGAGTGGAAGCCATTCTAAATGCCAAAAGAAACAGTGGCAACACAAATTAGCTGGGGATGCCAGCGTGTTCCTTACACTAAAACAGAGAATTCATTTTATCTTTTCATTTTATTACAGGCATTTTTACCCCACTCTCCAATCATGTTCCCAGGATGGCTATAGTTGCAATGGTTTGTAGCCGCTGGCGCATGTATGTGAGTGCAACAGACATCCACTTGTGCACCAGGACTTCCACTTCATAATGCTACTCCCTCCTTCAGCTCAGTGCATGTTCCCACTAAGAATCTGCTGCAGAGTGTTGGAAGACCTTCTGGAGCAGATTTGGGGGCATGTGCACGGCTGTGGGAGAAAAAGAGGAGGAGGAAGAGGGGAAATCATTGCATGAAAGTCCAGTAAACGTAATACTTGAGAACAAATACATCTATACTGCTGTAGTCATGACTCCTTGTACTAAAGAACACTGATCACACCTGAAATTTTTCATTGTTAGTTTATTGCAATGTGAACCAGTTATTACGAATTCTTGACACATGGAACTTCTGAACATATAACTTGGTTTTATGTCGCAGCTCAATACAGTACAATAAAATCTGTTTATACAAAATACTCTATTGGCTTTATAAACAAACATATTCTAAAGTATGAAAATACCCTGACCTGTTCCTTTTTGTACAATTTTAGAGCAGAATGCAATTACAAAAAATAAAACAAAATCCAAAACCTAAGCAAACACGACAACAGAAAAGGATTTCACAGTGCATTGTGTAATACTGGCAAGAGAGTTCCAGAAACCTTTTTTAAAAAACAAAAAACCCAACAAGGTTACTTGTCAGAATCTACATATTTGGGGTGAGCAAATGAAAAACACAAAATCAATTTGTTCAGCTTTATTTGCATAATCGAAAAGTGTGGGCCAGTTATTAGAACTACTATTTGCGTAACATTCTAAGAAAGCAGACTTGAGTTTCTACAAAATGGTAAGAATTCTCTCTTCAGTATGAGCTTTGACAAGGCAAGAGTTTCACAGAGAAGTAATTTACCTTCGATTAAAAAAAATGTAGGATACACAGTGAAGGAGAATCAAAGGTTTAAAACTTGTTAATCTATTTCCTACCCTTTAATGAAAAACGCTGGCATTAGTAAGTGGAGGGAAACTAATAGAAATGGGGTGCCTATTCTATGCCCCCCCCAGATGTTATTGGACAACAACTCCCATTATCCCTCACCATTCACCATGCTGGGAGATACCGAAGGGAGCTGGAGTCCATCAACATCTGGGGAGCCACTGATTAGCCACCCCTGCCAGAGCATCGTGTTATATTTAGCCTCTAAGGATGTGATTGCATGGACTTTTTGTGGGGACTGACAAATTACTTCTAAGTGTTACTAATCATAATTCATTTCACCACTCATATTAGCAAACTTTCAGGTGCTGAAAGCTTGTAGTTGCATATTTTCCTACAATCTGACTACCTGTCAAAGGACAAACTCATGACATCACATATTACACATTACAGGGATAGTTGCTGTTATTAACTCTTCACAAAACATGCCACACAAATGTGTGCTATTCATCCAAAAGGATCTGAAGGGTCCTCCTTGTTATAACTTGAGGCCAATCACAAGATAAAAGCTCTAAGTACAAAGTCTGCAGCTGTAAGTGGAAATGTGGGAGGGAGAAACTGACGTGCCACACAGCAAACCTGCTTTTAGGTCGCACAAAGCAGTCCCTGCAGAGGAACCTCCTGTGCTTATGGCTTATTACGAAACTGCTAAATCAAAGGCACAGGAAGTTCCTGTCCAGATGATCATCAAAATACACTACCCTAGAAGGGAAAAACCCAACAGAATTTCAATTTATCAGGCCAAAAATTTGAGAACACTAAGAACACCCATTAATACTTAAACACCAGCTGTTTGGAATGGAACACTATTTTGCAGGGGAAAAAGAAGCAACCACTGCACAAATTCACAGAATCACAGAATTGTAGAGCTGGAATTTGGTTCATATTAAGCTGGGTTCAGATTCCCAGAACACGCTTAAAAATCTATTTATTTTCCATATCCTAAAAAGACAAATGCAGTACCACAATATTATGAACTTTATACATTGAGGCTAGAACAAGACATTAGAATATTTGCGTCTCCCACCAAAAACAAAGAGCATCTTCTCTTCCTCCCTAATAGTACAAAACATACAACAAGGTCATTATGCTAAGGGCTTCCTGGCCATTGCAAGCAGCAACCAATGAAACTGCGTAGTGTGGGACTAGCAAGGAGCCCAATGGCACATACAATGCATTTTGTATTACTAGACATTACCAGAGGAGACATTGCTGTTTTCAGTGTTCCCCACATATCTTTCTGGCCTAAACATCAAGCAATGTTCACTTCGGCAGTCACACACTGAAACACACACTGTTCACACACACAAGCATCAGGTACATTCCAAAAAAATTGTGCTTCTGTTACTTATACTCCTCTACAGGTTTTCACAAGACTGGGTGACTCACAACAGTATGTCTTAGACTGAAATTCTATATATACACTAATCTGTGAGTCCCATTGAACCATGTGGGCCCAGTTATTGGAACTTAACTTTACAACCCACAGAGATCATTTGCCTCTATCTTCTAACTAGATGACTCACAAGATATATGTCAATATACTTGTGCACTTTGGAATGTGGCTATGAAAAGTTGTTGAAAGTAGCATGAAAAACTACCAGCATTTGATGGGTGAATGAGATGATGCAAGTTTATTTGAAAAAGTAAATGTCTTACAGGATTATTTATTAACTTTTAGTAGGATTTATGACTAGCAAGAGGCTCTGCTATCCTCCCAAGTGTGGTTTTCACTCTCACTAATAAAAATGAATAAATATATACAAAGGATTCTCCCATCTTTTACCAAATAAAGCGTCTTGCAGCTGAGCAGCTACATCTCATTTCGAATTCTTAGCCCATTTGGAGTAAGTTGCCACATCAGAAAGCACAAGGAACTGAGAAAAACTAATGTCTCTGTGCAGCTTTTCCACCAATCTATCCTTAGCACAGGTTAGAAAGAAGTATCTACTCAACAGTTTAGCTAGTGCTGAGACACTGTTTTCTGAGCATTACTCTCCACAAAATGGGGTACCAGATTTCATCGCCACCCAGTCAGATCACTACTTAAAGAGGAACATGAGAATGAAAATGCATCCCTTTGGAAGTGGTGGGGTTAGTAAGCAAGCAGCTGTGCTTAGGGTGACACCCTTAGTCTTTCCTATTCCAAAGCTAGCTCAGACACTGAATGAGTCAAACGGGTATAGAAAAACTGTATAAATGAGGGTTCTCTTGATGCACAAGGCATACGCAAAGTAACCAACTCAACTCCTTGGACAGATACCCGTTTTCATTTTGAAATGTTTTCTCAAGGCAGACATTCTAGGCTGATGACAACCAGTAAGTAAAGTAATGGTGACTAGAAAGTAGGCTTGACTCCATAATAAGTCAAGTGAAAGACAGTGGAAATGTCTCTTTGCATATTTTATTCAAATGGCGAGAACTCACATTTAACCAAGAAGGGACTTTAACAAAACAAAACAACTCACAACAATGAGAAAAGTTTTCAAAAACTGTTAGAAACACAATCAAGCTGGCATGTACCTGGAATCTAGAAACAGCAGGACTGCAATAATATTGATTAAAACTCCACCAACCTTTTCATCACCTATGCTCCAAAGCTATTTGTACTTCTACCAAGTCTGGCCGTAACAGAATTTAGAAGCATGTGAAGTAGTGTTTATTTAACACCCAACCTTGAAACCTACTGCATAAAAAGTAGTCAAGATATCCTTTACAGATATAGCCTACGCAGACTACAAAATTCTAAGTGGAACAGTTTGTAGAACTAAGGTAAGGCTTTTCCAGCCTAAATGTGGAAGCTCTAAGGCACATATTAGTACATTCACATTACTGTTAAAAAAGCCAGAGTATAAAAATTTCCCTCCCTCCCCACCCAATACCCAATAAAAAGATGGCACTGCCCATTGAGCTCTGCTACTGTCAAATGCTGATAAAAAGACAATTTGCAGCTTTTTTAAAAAAATCACCTGATTTATAAACGTCTCCCCACTGTTCACTACCAACAGTGCTCCCCACACCCACACCCAAGCACAACATATCATATTGATAATCTTTCATCATGCCCTCCTGGATTTAAGATACCAGTCTCTCTCACATGTGGCTATCCTCCTCTTTCACACTATCTTCTGTGCTTTTCTGAGGCAGACTGGCCACATCATTACTGGGTTCTTTTTGTTTTTCAGCCTCGTCAATGTTGGTTTCTTCTTCTTTCGCTTCAGCCCTCTGCTTGTCCTCAGCCTTCTGCTCTTTTGCCAGCATCCGGTAATTGATGCCCATTCCAATAAACAGGAAGATCCCAGAGACAATCAAGATGATGCCACACGCCCAGTAGGTGTATTTGTAGTCACCATAGATATCATTGAGTTTACCTAATAGGACAAGAAGGGGGGGAAGCACATTAAAAGATCATTAGAGTTTTACTTCATGGCTAGACGAGAAAGTCTCTGCCTTAATACCAAGGAGTGTGGGAACGTCCTCCTCTCCCTTTTTAGGTTATTTTCTACACAGGTAAAAAAATCCATGTTCTAAGCTGGATCAGCTCCACCATAAATATGTAATACAGGGATATGGGAATTGTACCACAGGCTGATGAGATCACTGTTCTGGCATTTGCAAAGTGCCAGAAGCAACATAATTCTGACTCTGGAGGAGAAGGAAATCTTTTTCAGAATGAAGGCCCTATTCCCATGTGGACCACCTTCTGGGTACAACTTGCCTTTGGTAGGTGAGACCAGATACAAAAGTAGGCAAGGCAACAAATGCAAATATTACCGTCATCGCATAGGCCAGTTTCACCACACACCCATCTATCGAGGCAACCATGAGGACACATTCCAGCCAGGCAAAAACACTCAAGGAGGTACTGCCTGGGGACAGTTCAGCAGGACAGATAGAGAGGTTTGGAGGGGCAGCAATTGGCCCCCAGAACTAAGCTTCCTCGCCCCTGACTAACCTTCTTGCCCCCTTCTCTCTCACCAAAAGGCAAATGCATCCCCATACACAGCCCTCTGCAAGAGAAATACAGAAAATACTCTTACCTAGGAGAGGGGGTCCCAAAAGAACAGGGCAGCATTCCACAATAGTCACCAGACCAACAGCACTGGAGAACCGTTGCGCTCCAACTAGATCCATCAGTGTTTCGAACAAGACAGAGCTGAGCCAGCCAAAGGCAAATCCGAAAAACCCAGCATAGATGCAAAAGCCGGCATAGGTGGTGGATATAGGGGCCAAGAGGTGGCACACTCCATTATAAACTACAGACACAGCAAAGAAGTACTGGATCCTGGGCCTCACCCACTTGGTGTTTGCTACCAAGCCCATGGATGGCCTGGCAACCATATCTACAAAGGCTAGAATGGAGAGCAAAAAGGCAGCTGATTCTTTAGAGAAATGCATACTCTTCCCATAATTACTGAGAAAGACTAACGGAGTAAAGAGTCCAAAAAACATGACCACGTTGCCAAACAGGTAGAGCAAGAAGCCACGGTGCGTGAAGAGAGACAAATCCAAAAACTTGTTAACAGTCCCCAGAACTGTGCTCTTCTGTTTTTTAGACTTCCCGGCAATAAGGTCTGCGCTGACATCTCCTGCACCATCTTCTTTTGCCCCTGCTTTGCCAGCCTCCTGCAACACTTCCTTAACTTCTTTCTTTGGCGGCTCCGGCTTGGGACCTATCGGTCTCATCAGAGACCCAGCAACACAACAGTTCAGCAAGAGGCCCCCGAGGATTAAGAAGCTTCCTCTCCATCCAAAAATGCTATAGAAATACTGGTTGAGGGGAGCCAGCGTAGACAAGAACACAGGACTGCCTGCCATAGCCAGTCCATTAGCCAACGGGCGCTTCTTGTAGAAGTACTTGCCAATCATGGTCAGGGCTGGGTTTAAATTAAATGCAAGTCCAAGGCCTGGGAACAGAAAAAAAAAGTTGAATTAAGGGTATCAGAATGGCAGCTCTGCAAATCCACTGCTTTAGAGAACATATTTACTGAAGTAGGCTGAGTGAGAGAAACTGGGTCTATGCACTCTTATTTGCTGTTTTGAGCTACTAGGAAGGTGGGGGTGTGGTTTTCTGACTCAGCTTCTACACTGTTGACGTATGTATGAAACGGAGATTCAAAGGATTTATGGTATAGGCGATTGAGGTTATTTAAAACAAACAAAAAAGAAGCACACGCTGAAAGAGCCAAGACACTAAATAGTGTAGGGATAGACTGTGAGTTAGGGGTTCTTACTTGACAAGTGCCCCATTTGTTTCCCAGGAGGGGCACCTGCAAGGTAAGAAGCAGTGCTGTGCTTTGCAGTCAAACTCCAAGGTTGGAAGAGGTGGTTATTATATGCTGCATCTTCCATGCGGAGCTTCAAAATGAGACGTCACCACAGAAGTCTCTGTGGTGAAACCTGGTTTCCCGAAGAGGGGCAATTGCTGGGTTGAGGGCAATGCACCCTCCTTCCCTTTCGGCCCACTGCCTCTCTTCAAAGCACAGTGGACTCTGGGCACCCTCTTGCTTCCTGCCAAGAGAGGTGCATACAAAGAAGAAGCCGTGCAACTCTCTCCTGGACCGCTCTGTATCTTTCAGCAAGCTTATCTAATTTTGAGCTATTTATATCACACCTTTCAGGGCACTTAAGGCAGACAACAATTAAAAACCATAAATTTAAACAGTCTTAAATATTACATTATAAAAAGAGCAGAACATTAAAAATGAAAGTATTAGAACCACAGAAAACCCAAAGGAGGATTGAAAAAACACAACAGCTAAAAAGTCTGAGCAAATAAAAAGGTCTTCACTTGAAACAAAAGGGAAAACAAAAAAAAAAAAAGGCATAGGTTTAGCCTTTCTAAAAGGCTGGGCAATTACTTGCTATAATCCTTTCAGTTCTGTTTCGTAGGCTACACTAGTTTCTTTGCATCCTTCTCAGATCTGGAATCATCACTTCAAAGAAAGAGCAGACTTCCATGTAAGTAGTAGATGTTTTGCAGCTGTGCCACTCACCTCCTACAACCCCAACACAAAAGTAAAGCTCTTCCACTGTGTTACAGAAAGAGGCAGCAATCAAGCCACACCCTGAAAGGCAGCCACCTGCCATCATGACTGGCCGGCTGCCATACTTGTTCACCAGGATACTGCTGATGGGACCTAGGAGAAAATCGAAAGGACAATAGTTATCTAGATGTGAAAAAGGGTTTTACATTTCTGTTCATTTCCTACACTTTGGAACAGGTGCCTGCCAAGCAAAGCATGAACTTTTGAAGGCTGTGGATATTATACATGAATCACCATGTTAAAGATTAGCTTGCTTGTCCTAGGCTGATCCATATTTGGATCGAAGAACTGCAACTGGAGCTCTGCTTGTGGAAAAGCGCATTCCCACTCCAACACCATGAGAAGCTGTTCCTACAAGTTGGGTGACTTTTGTAAATGCCCCCCCCCCTCTCTGTGCGTGTGTGTGTAGAAATTCCAACTTCCTCCTTCCACTCTATGTACCTTTCAAGGAAGAAAAAGGTAATCATTATCACACCTCATGACGAAGGGGGCAGTGAAGGAGGTGGTTAGATCAGTGTTTCCCAACCTTGGGCCTCCAGCTGTTTTTGAACTACAATTCCCATCATCCCTGACCACTGGTCTTGCTAGCTAGGGATGATGGGAGTTGTAGTCCAAAAACAGCTGGAGGCCCAAGGTTGGGAAACACTGGAGATGATCCAAGGGCGTCAGGAGTAGACTACTGCACCCACAGGAGTCATGCTGATGACCCATGGGTTAGGGGTGTGTACAGTGGTACCTCTGGTTATGAACTTAATTCGTTCCAGAGGTCCGTTCTTAACCTGAAACAGTTCTTAACCTGAGGTACCACTTTAGCTAATGGGACCTCCCGCTGCTGCCACGCCGCAAGCATGCGAATTCTGTTCTCATCCTGAGGTAAAGTTCTTAACCCAAGGTACTACTTCCAGGTTAGTGGCGTCTGTAACCCGAAGTGTTTGTAACCCGAGGCACCACTGTGTTATGGACATGTCCACATAGCTGAACACTCTACTTTAGAACTGGTTGAATTGGTATTTCATGAACAACTTACAAAATGAAGAATGGGTAGCAGAATGGGCATACATAAGAACAATTTGCTACAGGCTAATACAGGACGCGGGTGGCGCTGTGGGTAAAAGGCTCAGCGCCTAGGGCTTGCCGATCGAAAGGTCGGCGGTTCGAATCCCCGCAGCAGGGTGCGCTCCCGTTGCTCAGTCCCAGCGCCTGCCAACCTAGCAGTTCGAAAGCACCCCCAGGTGCAAGTAGATAAATAGGGACTGCTTACTGGCGGGAAGGTAAACGGCGTTTCCGTGTGCTGCGCTGGCTTGCCAGATGCAGCGTTGTCACGCTAGCCACGTGACCCGGAAGTGTCTCCGGACAGCGCTGGCCCTCGGCCTCTTGAGTGAGATGGGCGCACAACCCTAGAGTCTGTCAAGACTGGCCCGTACGGACAGGGGGTACCTTTAATACAGGTGACAACAGGATTTTTCCTATGACAACCACACACTGAAGTGGTTGTGAGGGTAGGCAGTCTGTAGTAAACTCATTTTTTTACCAAATATGTAAATGTATGATTTAGCTCCAAGGCTAAAGTGGTAAAAAGTAGTTTGACGATTGGCATAACAGATGACTTGAACAGTTTCAACCAGATATAAAACATAACAAAAAAGAGGGTATTTTAGTATTACTTGTGTATCAAATTCCAAGCTAGTCAGTAGCTGAAATCCTCTCTAGTCAATATCTTCTATGTATATACTATATTCTTTTAATTACCAACCAAAAAGTATGAGTCTGATAAAGCTACACGACAGTATTTAAAGTACTTTCCTAAATCCAAAGCAAACAGTGACTAAGGACTTATAATAAAGCCCATTTAAATAAACCCAAATGTGCACGCCCTAAATATTAACTGATCTGGTTTCTCCATTAACAGATAACAAGGTACTCAGCCCCATGGTGACCCTGGATAACTAAATAGAAGTTTGCTGGCCTTGATAACAGCGTCCTAGTTTTTTTAAAAAAAACAACAACAACCCAAGGCATTCAGAAATCCCAACAAGTTCCAGCTGGGTCACATCTTGTCCCACTTGGTACTGTTCCAATTGTTTTTAGAGAAGTACACAAAGTACAGCAGTCTCTTTTCTGTGTGTCAGTTATTATTTTCCTAATAAAGCTTTTTTCAAAATCATGGTGAAGTGATTAGTGCATTTTACAGCTGTGTAGCCGATTCATAAGAAATCTCAAGAATTAAATATGGGGCTCCCAAATTCCAGGCCTGAATACATATGAAGTTGCCCTGTCCAGCCAACCAAAATCCAAGGTCTCAGGGATAGGTCTATGCAGTGCTTTTTCCCCCCAGAAGGGTGGGAGAAGCTTGAAGAGCTACAGTTTGATGTTCCTGGGGAGGGTCCCAGTGGATTAGGATGAGCCCCATCTGGTCCCCAGAAGGTCTCAAGAGTCAGCTGGGAAGGAGGTTGTAGGTAGAGTTATCGATTCTGAGGAGGAACCAAGCAGATTGCCAATCCAAAGATGACTCTCACCTTCAGTGCTGAAGTCGTACCTGACCTACTCTTCACAAGCTTGTTGGATCTTAGTTTGCTTAACCGTGTATACAATCTACTGTGCCCTTTAACCAAAATCATACTGATTTTGGCAGGAAGACAATATGGGACTCTTCATATGCACAGCATATGTTCTGCCACTGCACCATGGCACTTTGCCCATCATTTTCTTTTTACAAGGCAAATGCTACCTAAATAAATCGCTGAAATTTTCTCCCTTGAAATTTTGCCTGTAGCAGGGGCGGGTAGGCATTGTTTCCCTCAAGAAGTACGTTCTATCAAGGACAGTATATTGGGGGCCGCATGCAAAGAATGACCAAGAACGGATGGAGCTAGAAACAAAGGCGTTATGGATTAACTAATCTGAAAGGAGACTGCTTCAATTTTCACTGTAGCTACCCTTGGATGAGAATGTCCAATCCTATGGAGGTCTACTCAGAACTTAAGACCTGCTGGGTTTGACAGTATCACTCAAATAATGGGTAAGAGGATTTTTTAGTACAACAAACCAAAATAACTACTGTTCTGGAAAACAAATAAAATTAATTCCTTTCAGACTTAAATGTGCCCCACACACACAGTGCAAATAAGTACAAAACAAACCCCCATTTAAAACAAACCCCCATTTATTTTCATCAAATAAAATAACATCCTTTCAACTTCTACTGAAACTACATAAAAGTGGGTCACTGTTAAAAGCCAGGAAAACTGAGAGGGCATGCAGGAAGGAAGGAATTCTGATCAGATGGAGGAACAGGGCAGCTTTAGGAGGTGTTCAGAAGGAGCATAAAATTATGTTGGAGCCACATGTGGCCCCCAGACCACAGTTCACCCACTTGTTTTATATAGGAATGACACTAGGCATGCAGCATTCTGCAGCTACTGCTTTTGTGCAGCAGTCTTTTCTTATATCACTGCAACATCCAGATGCTTCAGCAGCTGCAGAACACCTACACAAAGCACACAATAGCTTCAGAGTGTCACATGGATATTAAACACTAAAGTTCTGTGTTTGTTAAGAGGACACTACTGAATTGTACCATGTTATAAAAGGGAGAATTGGCAGAATTCAAGTCCAGTTGACAGAGTGAGCACACAGCCAAATTACATTTCACTTCATGGAGTAAAATCTCATCTATCAATGGAGCGGCTTATGTAAAGTTTTGCAGAACATGAACTTTGACATGCGGTTATACGAAACTCCTGAACAGCAGAGCTTCCACCAAATTTTTAGTCACTACCTTGAAAAAGAACACTGTTCTTTTCTGGGCAAATATGCAATTTTAATTAAAAAAGATTCAGTTTACTGGGAAATGGTTCAAAGGACAACAGTGCAAACAAGCATATAGACTAAGTTAGCCACACGCTTAGCAAGGTCAGCCACAAATAAGCAAAATAAAAAATAAAAAATTCACAACACTTATAGCCAAGTGAGACCAGAAAATATTGCTCTTTGGAGCCTGGATATTTTGGAAGTATACCAACAGCTAATGAAATAATTATGTCCCATCTTAGAAACAAACATCTCATTTTCTCTTATTATTCCAAACAAAGGACAAGCCAATCTTCACCCGCCCACAGCTTACATGCATTTAACTTGTGTGCATTCAGCTTTATGCACAACAACAACAAAAATTAAAAGCAGGAGGAAAGGGGACAGGCATCCAAGGGGGAAAAAAGACTTTGGCAATCAGAGGTTAAACTAGGGGGTTGGCAAAACTGACCCCTGCTGGGTGCACAGAAATCACCTCAGAAATCTGTGTGTGCTACTTCTCTGTGCCTTAGTTCCCCTTGTGTTTACACAGCCCACCTTCTCTCCCTTACAGGGACGTGTTTGTTTAGCACCTCCTGAGGGAAGGAGCTGCAATGGATTCCCATTTCCCACCCTCCTCCATTTGCTGTTTGGGCTCCAGAGTTCGGCCCACCCACCCTCCTGCAGCTCTGTTTGCCCTCCCTCAAGCCAACTCATGTGCTGGGCAGAAGCAGCCCTGAGGGAGCTTAGGAAGGCTGGCCGGGGAGCTCCAGGCTGAGCCCAGAAGACGCTGGGCGCCTCTCCCCTCTGCATCCCCAGCCCATGAAGAGAGAAGAGAAAGGGCTGGAGGAGCACCGATTAGAAATAGGGTGTTTAGAAAACGGATTATCTAAACCTTTAAAGCAAATAATCACAGACGGCTCATTAAGTCAGTTTACGTGCTTGTTGTAACACTGAAGCAGGGAAGTCTGCTGGTTGCCTCACCAACTGAATAAGGACAAAGCAGAGACTGTTCCCTTCCAAGGAAAAGCCTCATGCAACAACGTCACTTGCTTTCTGAGGCAAAATGCAAAACAGAAGTGTGGCCCACCAACACTGTAGCAGCATTGAAGCCACAAATACCCAGCTCTGCTTCCAAAGGAGGAACCTATGCCATGTCAGCCCAAAAGGGAAACATCAGGTTAGAAAGTGAAGAGAATCGGAATTCAGGACACATAGACGTGTGTGTGTGTGTGTGTGTGTGTGTGTGTGTGTGTGTGGTATTCAGTATGTCCTGTTTTACAAACTGTTATAGTGCTTTTTTT